AGCAATAGAACATCACAATCGAGATACAAATCATGATATTCTTTCATATTCTTTATTTCAAATTCACGCCAGACTTTCTGTGCGTGTTCGTAATCGGAATCTGAAATATGTTTGTTATTTAATTTACTGTAAAATTCTTCTTTAGGCGGCAAGCATTCATCTTTTAGCTTATCTTCTGAATCAAAATAGTCATAAGGGAATACACCTTTTCTTACTAATAATTCAATATCATCATACATCCATTTCATATTCTTGAAATTCTCAGGTTTTAGATTTCCAACGAGCTTGTCCAGCCCGGCCGCCATGAATTTGAAAGAGTCGATGAATCTGATTTCTCTTTTAATTTCAAAGGTTTTACCATCTTTTTCGAACTCACCTATTTTTATTAATTTATTGAATGAGATGTATTTCTCTTCGTTATTCGGAATACAGTTTATAGGCCCCTCAGATACTCCTAGATTTTTAATGAATAAATGAGCGTCGTAACCAGCGAGATTGTGGAATATAACTGGAATATGTTTTGGAATTCTATAATTTAGATTACAGACATTATGGGCCGCGCCTCTATACTTGCCAGTTAAGTGGCAGTGATCTAAAACTTTATCTTCTTTTAGCTCACCTTCGCAAATATGGCAATATTTTGAATTTTTGTAATTTTCTCTATCCGCGGCTGTCATTCTAACTTTTTTATACCAAATATTTGAATATAACTTTCTAACAGTCTTTTCGATTGAATTAACGAATTTCTGCCCGACGTCTTCATCTTTCTGGCAAGTATATGAAATCATTTTAGGCTCATAGACGTCATTCACAGTTTTCAGATAATAGCAGAATCCAGAAGGTTTGTGGTATTGAAACTTCTCGGTATATGAATTATTTGGATCTGGCTGGCATGATGCTAATCTTTTTGTAAAGCATTCAAAATCCGCGTATATTACAAATGGAACTCTCATTGAATGATTGTAATTTTTGAATTTAAGAGTTGTTCCCTTTTTAGGAAGACTCATTTTTATGGCATCTTCATTTTTACAATACTCTGAGTGCTTATCAAGAGATTCTTGAGATTTGAATGAATTGAGGCATCTCTCACAAATGAATCGATAATGTTGGTGATTATCGACCTGCCTGCTTACGAGCCTAGACATATTTTTTATCCAGCAATAGTGGTTTTTACTTCCTTCAGAAATCATCATTAAGTTAATTATCTTATTTTCACTCTTAGTTATTCTAAGCGGATAGACCTCACCGTTGTATCCAAATACATTAACGCCGTAGGGATTATTATCCTCGAATTTTGAAATATCTTCAATTTCTACCGGAAATACTAAACCGCTCCAGTTAAGATTTTTTGAATCTTCCTTTAATTTGCTACTAACTTTCTCCAAATCCCGTTTTGATGGATATAAAGCGCGAGTTACAGCCCACCTGAAACACTCGTTGTCCTTGTTCTTAATATTAATTATCGCCTTTTTTGGGATTAAAGCTTTAGGAAGAGGTAAATAAGAGCTTCCCGACATTGGAGCGAATGTATCGATATTAATTTCTAAGCTTATTATTTTTCTGAANGTACAAGGAGAAGAGGAAGGCTTTATTAGATGTAACGTAGATATTTGCTACAAACAAATAATAAAAACGAGAGTCTTACGTCTGCCTTCCAGTAAGAAATCACTAACATTTGGAGTTCTGATCTAATTAGTCTCTATTGGTCTCAAAGTCGAGTTATATATTTGTTTGACTGCACCTAGTAATGCACCAAATTTCAAGTCACTTTATGATTTAGACGCAGGTGTGCCCCGCCTTTTTCATAAGTCACCAGCGACTTAATGTGACCCATTAGAGCGGATTTCGTATGAGTGGGAAACGAACGGTACTGTACTGTGACCGTAATCTTACTGTAACCAAATTCTAGTGCCCCATTGGTTCACCAAAATTGCGAAGGCCAGGTCCGGTAACTGTGGACTCATACGAAATCCGCTCTAATCCGGGATAGGCCATAAACAAGACTTACATACARTCAAACCTTTATTAAGCGTTAGGCTTGTGGAAAACCAGGTGACCACTTATAGAGGTTGACCGTTTAAAAGAGGTCATGCTTTACCATAAATTTACTGAGAATGGACTTATTGGAGAATGCATGGATGAACACTTAAAGTGCACATGACACATTTTAGAAAATCACTTTTATCCGAAAGTTTAAACGCTGCCAAGTACTTTTGTAAAGAAAGAATCGATTTTCAATTTTACTTTCTTAGTTGTAGACATTTGAAAATGCAAATGAAGTGACGTCAACTAAGGAATTGGTCCAGACTTTTTACATTGTTTRTGTTATGTTGTTCTTGGTTGAAGTCCTCAAATCATCATTCCTAGTAATAATTGAGAGCTGAAAATGCTTTTTCAATGTAAATAAAAAGAATAACGTCCTCTTTCATGATTTTGTATATTAAATCATTCCTTATTAGTAGACGTCACTTCATTTGTATATTCTAAGTTTCAATTGCCCATAACTTGGAAAATACAATTTGATATCAAATTCTTTATTCACAGATGTACTTAGCAGCATTTTCTCTTCTAGATGAGAATGAATTTCTAATGGTGTCATGTGCACAAGCAGGTTGACCGTTTAATAGAAGACCGTTGAACAGAGGTTCGACTGYAGAGAGTGGGCGATTCAAAACTGGATTATTACCTACCAGAGTTCCAAGCTTTGTCTGCAAATCCACCAAACACGTACAAACCAACGCGGATTATTGTTAGGGTGTTTTTCAAACCATCGCACTGAGGATGGAAGGTCAGCCTTGTATCCCAGCCATCTGTGCGAGCATGCCAGCATCGTAGCCACTTGTTCGACCCCGAGAACTCGACCRCTGGTTCCACGAATTTCACTAAACCACTTGTTAACGCTGTATTGTGGTCATATCCTTGGAGAATCGCTGATTGATGGAGAYCAGCTTTGGAAGAGAAGTTATCATTTTACTTCGAGGTTGAATGCCGGAATCATTAGAGAACCATWAAACAATGTTTGAATTTTAAATGCATCACGAGACTTTGTGCTTAAAAATACGCGTTGAATTATGAATCAGAAACGCGAATTTTGACAAGAATTTGACAATCACGGCGAATGGTTGCTAGAAATCACGAGTCAATGAAAGGAATGATTCCACTTTCATAACTAAATTTCATAATTGAATGCCCACTCCCAACCGACACCTTTAAAAGCATTTGTTATGTTTTTTAAATAAAAATACTTTGAAATATAACACAAAACTTACTCTTTATTATCCCTTTCTGCTTAATGAATGAAGCCATTTTAAGATTCGACCTTTAAACCGACGGATGGAAACGGATTCCAAATAAACATCTGAARAATTCACACTATCTACTGTACATGAAAAATCTAAAACACGACCGCATTGACYGCCGGATTGCTTGTCCCTTTATTTGGTCAACAAATTAGGCTATTTCCTAGTGAATGACTCTCTCAACTTACCCACTTTTCCGCCATCATAATAAAACACTTCCACGTCGTCCGGTTTAAATTTATAAGACCCAGCRAAGAATTTACAGTCAGCAACGTTGTATGTACAGCCGCTAGGCACATCATATGCCGTGGGCCTTGTGTACGAATAAGTATTACTGGATGCTAGATTATAAATACGAAGATCATGTCCATGTCCAAATGTTGGCCCATAACTGCTAGCGCTGTATATAGCATGCRTATTTACCTGGCCAGTCAGGTTTAACTGGACAGGTTTGAAGCCATTGATGTTGTACAGGGAAAAAAGAAAAGATTTGCTTGACTTGGAATATTYAGCAGCTGTTGTGAAACAAGAAATGATATTTGATTTAGAGGAAGAGGTGGTACAGGSAGAAAGTGAAACACAGGAGAAAGTGAAGAGGAAGGGATTGTTGATTAGTGCCTGAAGCCCTGAAAAGGTCAAAAGCGAATAATGGAGTGAACAGTATTTGGGGATTAAACCCATTTTATGACTGAATTCTATTTGAACAAGCACTYTAAGTTCTCGTCCACACGCTCCTGGATAGTGTATTATTTTCCCCTGGGATGCACTAGCAATTAATGAAAAATTCTGATGCAAAACCTGAGGAAACGTGTGGACAAGCAAATCTGAAAAGTCATGCTTGCGGACCCCCAAAAAATCCCTTGCTCGCGTGCTCTTTCCTTCTCAACGCTACTCCTTTACTCTCACTTGTTCTCTGTTATGCTGGTCTTGCTCTCTTCTGTTACACTCCTGTGCTCTCCGGTCCCCTAAMAATTTCTCTTCCTTTCCCAATTCTGGTGCTTGATTAATATCTCTCATCCTCTTCATTCCATTCAGACTCCCTCCTGCTATCCGGTCCTCCCTCCCCCGGGGGGGGGGGAAGTACTCCCCTATATTCGCTATACGGGACGTGCCGCCAACCAGGGTATCGTTTTCAGCGATTTTACTCTGGAACTGGGTATCGTTTTTAGGAATTTTACTCTGGAACAGGGTATGGATTTCAACAAATTTCCTCTGGAACAGGGTCAGGGTTTAATTCCCGAATTATTAATGCTGGATGAAAATKAATGGGGTAAAAATTTGGTCTACACGCAAGCTAGTGCAGGATTTTACTCTGGAACAGGGTWTCGTTTCAGCAATTTTACTCTGGAACAGGGTATAGTTTTAAGCGATTTCACTCTGGAACAGGGTCAGGGTTTTGAGGTCCCAGCGGCACACCCCCACCCAAATTTCGGGGGAGTATCCCCCCCAGGGATTGCTCTCTCCTTCTCTACTGAACCCCTCGCTCTTTCATCCTCCCCGGTGGTTTCTTTTCTGTTTAATCTCATCCCTAACACATTACTCAGGTCAAAATGCTTTACCAGAATGCCAAGGCTGGTCTGTGAATCCACCAAACACATACGAAGCAACGCGGACAATCGTCACTGTTGCTTTTTTCCCATTACATTGAGGATGAAATGTCATTCGTGTGTCCCAGCCGTCTTCAGGGGCGCTCCAACATCGCCTCCATTTTTGCGGATGRAATTCCTGAACAGTGTTTAGGTAGCTGGTTAAAGTGGCTACATAGCTTGTGTTCCCATAATTCTTTAGGATGGAGGAGTTTTCTAAACCCGCTGTGAACAAAGACAAATATAATTTCTAAGTTGATTGTGGATAAGTAGAATTTTAAACATGAAACACTCGGAAATGTATCCTTAGCGGGCGGTACAATTTCCACCGTTTGTTACCATATAACAGCCATATAGTTTTAAACAATGGCGCCCTGCCACGCGAAACCTGAGCCTGAACTTTCCCGATCTTCTTAAGCTGGACCCAAACGAAAAACTCTTGACAAACCCAATAAAAATTGTTGATTAATTCCACATTTTACTCGATTTCGCCACCTTGATTGATCGATGTTGTTTGATTGAATCGAGCACTTAAACATTGAATGCTTGAAGAAGAAGAATCGATCAAATTTTTAWGTGGCAGAAAAATGGCAAGTTATACAAATCTTACAGATAGGAACAATGCTTTTTTTTCACATTTTAGACGACCCCTTGACAAATTTTTCGACCATCAAATGTCATCAATCAAATTTCTCAAATTGGTTTTTCAATAACTTACTGATGTCTCCATCGTGGTAGAACACTTCAATGTCAGATGGCTTGAAATTGTAGGATCCAGCCAGGAAGGTACATGACGTGCCATAGCTGCAGCCTGGAGGAGGTGTATAGGCTTTGGGTTTTGTATAAGAATTTGTATTCGATGATGCATGATTGGAGATGTATATATCATATCCATTGCCAAATGTCGGACCGAAGCCATTATAATTACGTATTGCKTTYTGGTTATACTGGCCAGTCAGKTTTAACTGKATTGGTTGGAARCCATTGGTGTTATTCAATGAAAACAGGAATGACTTGGTCGATTCTGTGTATGTAGTATAAACTGTGAATCGAAAARGTAGAAATACATTCAGTTTTMTGATTCCAGTCCCCTKTGAAATTGTTAAATTTTCTTTCTGTGGAACTGAGGCACCTTTAGATGTCAATATTGAGAGGGCCTGCTTTTCACGCTCTTTTTCGCAAGTGAAGTGAGGTCTGATGGAAAGAGTCGTTTGTTATTGTAAAAACTCAACAAGCAAAAAGCAAGCTGCGTTATTGTCACTAGAGCTGTAGTAAAATCACTACTATCAAGCTTTTTAAAAAACTCCAAAATCTTGCAGCAATGATTTTGCCTGTTCAAACTATGACGCCAAAAAAGCCTGTAGAAMAACGGAAGGTTGGTTTACAAGTCCACAAATGGCATGTCCCCTGATAATTTGGGCTTGCAATATAAAAATAAACCGTCTACAATCTTAGAGGCAAATTTGCTTCCCCATAATTTGTTTACATTTCGGTTCATTAATATATCATTAGCAGCATATACCGTTTTAACCTAACTATATATAAATCAGTACTGAATATTGAAACAACATAGCACAATAAGCTTTCCTCGCGATTTTGATCTTCCCATTGGAATACCTTTTGCGTTAAGTGGTTTATAAAACTTTTTTWAAGAGATTATTATATGAGCTAATTAACGCTTTTTACCACTCAGCATCTTTGAACGCTAATATCTCATAAACTATTGCATGTAAAGACCTCAGACTTTCGTGGTTTATAGTTCTTAATAAGCCATTTTACTTTATGAGCCTATTTTACAGTTTTTTCTTATTTAAACTTTATGCTAATTAGAAGAATCTTGTAAAAAATGATTCGGCTATTAAATTGACTTGACGTAACCAATCAGTCAAAAAAGAGTTTTCATATACCAATTACTTAATAGTCTTCTTCACGGTTCCCTGCGCCATCTTGAAAGGTATAGCCCTGCCTTTTCATCGAAGCGAGACGACCGCTGAGCGTGCAATGATAGAAACCTTCTTTCACACCTACAGACAATTATTCAGAGGTATCTATAATTGCACGCTCAACCGTTGTCTCGCTTTAATGCAAAGGCACGGCTACCTTTCAAGATGGCGCACGTAACCGTGAAGGAGACTATTGCTTTATTGTTTTCTCAACTGGACAAACTTTTCGTCATTGACATGAATGGAGTACACTAAGGCTACTAAACTATTATGTTTATCATTGAATTATTATCATTATTAGCATAATTGCCATAAATATCAACTTGAATCACATAAAAAAAGGGAAAAACTTACTGGTTTGCCAAGATTTATCAGCAAATCCACCAAACACGTGCTGTCCAACGCGTATAATTGTCACTGTGGTTCTCTTGCCATCACACTGGGGATGGAAGGAGTACCGAACATCCCATCCATCCTCTGCAGCATGCCAGCATCTGATCCAATCACTCGTCTTTGAGTTCGGTACTGCAGTAGCTAAGTAGTTGTTCAGGGTGTTGATGTAGGTAGTGTTGCCATCGAGAATTGTTGATATTTCAAGTCCTTCTGTTGAGATCATAAATATAAAGACATTTTATGCTCTTGGATCTTTTGAGATTGGACTTGATTAACGGTATTGCGTATGTAATACATGGCAGGTACTGATAAGAGGATTAGACAGTGTTGAGCCATCTTGTATTTCTTAAGTTCGATGATTCTGAAAATTGGATAAGAACAAGAAGAACAAGAAGAACAAGAAGAACAAGAAGAACAAGAAGAACAAGAAGAACAAGAAGAACAAGAAGAACAAGAAGAACAAGAAGAACAAGAAGAACAAGAAGAGCAAGAAGAACAAGAAGA